GAGGGGGAGGAAGAGGAGAAAAGGAGGAGAAGGAGGAGGAAGAGTAGAAACAGGAGGAGAAGGAAAAGGAGAAAGAGGAGGAGAAGGAAAAGGAGGGGAAGGAGAAGAAGGAGGAGGAAGAGGAGAAAAGGAGGAGGAAGAGGAGAAAAGGAGGAGAAGAAGGAAGAAGAGGAGAAAAGGAGAAAGAAGAGGAGAAAAGGAGAAGGAAGAAAAGAAAAAGGGAAAAGGAGGAGGAAGAGGAGAAAAGGAAGAGAAGGAGGAAGAAGAGGAGAAGGAGGAGAAAAGGAGAAAGAGAAGGAAGAGGAGGAGGAAGAGGAGAAAGAGGAGAAAGAGGAAGAAAAGGAGAAAAGGAGGAGAAGGAGGAAGAAGAGGAGAAAAGGAGGAGGAAGAGGAGAAAAGGAGGAGAAAAGGAGGAGAAGGAGGAGGAGGAGAAGGAGGAGGAAGAGGAGAAAAGGAGGAGAAGGAGGAGGAAGAAGAGAAAAGGAGGAGAAGGAGGAGGAAGAAGAGAAAAGGAGGGGAAGAGGAGGAGGAGATCAAAAAGGAGGAAGAAGAGGAGGAGAAGGAGGAGAAAAGGAGGAGGAGGAAGAAGAGGAGGAGGAGAAAAGGAGGAGGAGGAGGAGAAAGAGTAGGAAGAAGCAGAGAAAAGGTGGAAAAGGAGGAGAAGGAGGAGGAGGAAGAGGAGAAAAGAGGGAGAAGGAGGAGTAAAGGAGGAGAAGGAGGAAGAAGAGGAGAAAAGGAGGAGGAAGAGGAGAAAAGGAGGAGAAGAAGGAAGAAGAGGAGAAAAGGAGAAAGAAGAGGAGAAAAGGAGAAGGAAGAAAAGAAAAAGGGAAAAGGAGGAGGAAGAGGAGAAAAGGAAGAGAAGGAGGAAGAAGAGGAGAAGGAGGAGAAAAGGAGAAAGAGAAGGAAGAGGAGGAGGAAGAGGAGAAAGAGGAGAAAGAGGAAGAAAAGGAGAAAAGGAGGAGAAGGAGGAAGAAGAGGAGAAAAGGAGGAGGAAGAGGAGAAAAGGAGGAGAAAAGGAGGAGAAGGAGGAGGAGGAGAAGGAGGAGGAAGAGGAGAAAAGGAGGAGAAGGAGGAGGAAGAAGAGAAAAGGAGGAGAAGGAGGAGGAAGAAGAGAAAAGGAGGAGAAGAGGAGGAGGAGAACAAAAAGGAGGAAGAAGAGGAGGAGAAGGAGGAGAAAAGGAGGAGGAGGAAGAAGAGGAGGAGGAGAAAAGGAGGAGGAGGAGGAGAAAGAGTAGGAAGAAGCAGAGAAAAGGTGGAAAAGGAGGAGAAGGAGGAGGAGGAAGAGGAGAAAAGAGGGAGAAGGAGGAGTAAAGGAGGAGAAGGAGGAAGAAGAGGAGAAGGAGGAAGAAGAGGAGAAGGAGAAAGAAAAGGAGAAGGAGGAAGAAGAGGAGAAAAGGAGGAGAAGGAGGAGGAAGAGGAGAAAAGGAGGAGGAAGAGGAGAAAAGGAGGAGGAAGAGGAAGAAGAGGAGAAGGAAGAGAAGAGGAGGAGAAGGAAGAGGAGGAAGAGGAGGAAGAGAAAAAAAGAAGGAGGAAGAGGAGAAAAGGAGGAGAAGGAGGAAGAGAAGGACAGTGGAAATTTTTGGGTGGAAACACTCAGTTTTGGGTGGCAACCCACAAGTTTTTTCCTTCCCCTCCCCGTTTTTTCCTTTCCCTCCCCGTTTTTTCCTTTCCCTCCCCGTTTTTTCCTTTCCCCCCTTTCCTTTTCCCAAAACTGGAGGTTTTGTCCCCAAAAGG